AATATTTTCATGACCACAAGGGAAATACATTTCCTGGGTTCTAGAAGACTTCATTTAATAACAGCATTTTGGGAAATCACTGTGTCCAATGTACACAGCAATTGTGAGATGCCTTTCAATTTCAGAAATGTAAGCCTATAGGCACACATGCATCATAGAATGGTGGAAACTTTATGTCAACAGAGAGTATCTGACTGAGGCAGCGGTGGATGTGGGAGGGCAACTTTTAATCTCCATTTCTTAAAAAAATTATTTTATTGTTGAGAGTATTATAAATATGCCTATTTCTCCCCTTTTGCTCCCCTCCACCCATCTCCCATCCCACCCCAGGCCTTCACCAGTCTATTGTCTGTATCCAGTGCATGTATGCTTATAAATTCTTTAGCTAACCTCTTTTAATCTCCATTTTGAGAGGACAGAACTGACCAAAGAGAGTGCCTAGTTAGGAACAGGTGTCTGGGTTTTGTTATAGTTGTGATTAATTTTTTTGAAGTTTGTAAAAAAGGTAAAATTAGAATATGCGGGTGTTTTGCTATGTTTTTAATTTCCAAACAACACTCCCCCTTGAAGGCCTTATTACCTTACATAATAAGAGGATGGTATTCACTGAAGGTGGGAAGGGTGTGTATTTCAGAATTTCCTCCCTGAAAGGAAAAGGGGTAGGACCGGACTCCCCGCCTAGCTGCTTAGTGGGATTGTCCCCTCCACTGTACAGAGCCTTTGTTTCCCGGGGAAGATAGACTTTAAGATGTTAATTCAAACTTTGTTATTGTCCTTTGCTTGCATCTTCATCAGTAAAACATTAAAAAAGACAATATGGCTGGATCCTGTTCTGACCTTAATGCCTGTCGTTATAGGAGGGTCCAGGGCTGTTTTGATTTGGCAATGGGAGCTCTGATTCTTGTTAGTCTCCCTAGGCTCAGGGCAACCTGTCAACCGTACAATTCTCTACTCCAGTTACACGGTATGCATGAGGGGAGGAAGCAGTGGCAGGAATGATGGCAAAATAACCTAGGCTACATGATGCATTTGCACTGGCATGCCTTTGAGTGCAGGGTGCCCCCAGGTCCTGTGAGATCCCAGCTTGCCGTTCGGCTCCCGGGTCCACTCAGGCCCAGGGTAAGTGGGGGTGGACCTCTCAGGCAGTGCTTCCTGACTTGGTTCCTGGCCCTGGTGGCAGTAGCAGAGGAGGTTTATTTAAAGCTCCTTACTTGAGATTAAAGAGAACGTTTCTACTTACCTTCTTTTCTTTTAATTAATTTGTGTGTGTTTTTAGTCTGAGAGAGAGAGAGAGAGAGAGAGAGAGAGAGAGACAGGTGACAAAAAAAGTCGTTATCAGGTGTCCCTTCCCCACAATATTCCCTCCTCTCATTTTGATAATGTGATCACCCTGTGGGATGAAAACTTTACTATTCTTACCTAAAAGAAACGAAACAGAGGAAGTTAAAAAAAACAAGAAGAAAAAGAAGAAATTATAACCGTGGGACGAAAAGATGAAAACTTTACTATTCTTACTAAAAGAAACGAAATAGGAAGTAAAAAAAAAAAAAACAAGAAGAAAAAGAAGAAATTATAAAATCAGGCAGAGGAGGGGGTGGGGAGAGTTGTTCACTACAATACTG